CCACCAACTTCTTTTAAAACAATTGTTTTCTTTCTCTCTGCATATCATTCTTTCTATCAACTAACTTCTAGCCATCTAAACTGTTTGTCTTGCTTCTTCAAATACTAAGTAAGAGTTTTCCCTCTCGTATCTCTCATCAGAGTGCCAGTCCCTTCTGGTACAACCCTGATTTATGCATTCCTGAATGCTCAAGTGAACTTGAAAATTATATGTGCTTAAGGTTTTCTTTTAACAAAGTCGATTCAGCTAAAGGATGAATTTATGAGGTGAAAAATGTTCTCCCTCAAGAGTAACAAAAATATATAGAGACATTTGTAGGAAAATTTTCAAATTATGGCTAAGAATTTTCTCCATTTTCAAATAGGCAGATATATATGTCCTGTTTGACCAGAATATCCTCCCCAGGCTATAGCTTTAGTCTAAAGAACATAAGTGATCTAGGAAGAAATGACAACAATCTGTAAGCCTGCCACCAAAACTTGAGGTTGCAAAGGACCATTGTAATGATTTCTTCAGGTTCCTTTGTGTATAGCCTTAATTCACAGAGGGAGCAATGATTAGCATTTATCTAACAGTGCAAAGGAAACAGCAAGCAAAGCCTATGCAGAATGAAGAGACTAGACTTGAGGGTGCCTTTCAATATTATGGCAACAGGTTCTTAAAAAGCAACGGATTAGGCACTTAGAAGAGTTTTGGAGCAAAGGACTTCCATTTTCCTTTAACATGTTTATGGTTAACATCTCCTAATATAGGAAGAGGTTTATTCAGAAGACACAGAAAACTCACCTTTGTTAAATCTAGCTCAGTCTCTAAGGTTTCTTTCACAGAGGAAATGACCCCACCAACCTCTGCAAGATTTTTAAAATTAACATTGCTCAGAACAAAGGTATAATTTTATCAAACCCCTGCATTTTAGGGATGAGTTTTGGGGAGGCGAAGTGATTTGCCTAGGTGCACACTACTACTTAGAAAGCAAAACCAGGGTAGACCACCAGGATGCAGCATCCTAACCGAGAAACCAACAGGCCATGTTTCACTATGCACCACTCAAAGTACCAGTAGTTTACTGGAAGTTCCTGAAATTTTGCTGCCACAGAAATGGATTTATTTGCTATATTATTGAATAATAGCTTTAAACAGTTCACTTGAATCAACAATATTAACTAGAGAATTCTTGATCTAATCTCTAGCATCATGCTTATTGCTCAAAAAATACCTTGAGGATTCAGCCACCCATGTTATATTTATCCACTCATGCGATATTCACCTACGACAACATGAAGAAACAAAAAGAGGTTGTGACTCCCCTCCATTTAAATGATATCAGTTTGGCAAGAGATGGGGAAGAAAAAAGTGATATTATCAACATGAAATTTTATAGATTTATGTTTTAAACCTTAAAAATTAATCAATACCAAAATAATTTATATTTGACAAATACTTAGACTCAGAGGAGGACCGTGGAAATGTCTGGAAGAAGTGAGGCTTAAATCAACATTTTCTAATACTGCACAATCCGAATTCTGGAGTACAGCTGGCCCTCCATATTCGCGGGTTTTAAAATCCTGCAGGTATCTGGATACCCAGGGCTGGTTGTATTCTACTTTTAAGAAACTGTTTCTAAATTAGAGATCAATTAGGATCTAATTGATTCTAAAATATTACTTCTGACCAAGGCAGAGTAACCAGCTGGATCTGACAGCAGGAAGGTCTGCACTGCCCCCTCATGGCCAGAAGCCTTGCTGGTAACTCTTCCAATACCAGACACCCAATGAGCAGTTGAACCCAGTCAGACTTAATTAATACATTGTAATAATGAATGCCAGTCTCCACAAAACACATACTTTCACTTCCAAAACATATTCATATTTGCATCCTGCCCATATTACCTGTCTCAGAGTTTGATACAAACATTACTATCTAGAAAAAGTCACATTCTCTTTAGAGGAAATAATAAGATTTAAACATAGAATAAAGAAAAAAAGTATATACAGAGAATCGAGTTTAAAAAAAAAATAACACCCATAGGCTGAATTTTGGTAGGCTAAATATTATTCTTCAGACGATGTCAATATGAGTCACAAAGGATTGGAAAATTCAATGTTCTTAATTTAAAATAATTAAATCAAGAAAAGCATTTAAGATATTTCACTAAAATCAAAGGCAAAACTTCTAGTTCTTTCAACAATTCTTTAACAATTTTTTCAAACGAATTTTTTAAAAAGGAATAAATCAGAGAACAAGTGTGGAACACAGATAATCAATATTTGAATAAATCATTATGTATTTAATGGCCAAGAAAACAAGCTAGAAACATCAAAGATGAAAGTTTCAAAGAATCCAAAACAAGTAATTCCAACTCTGACAAGGAGAAGTAATTATTACACCTATTCTAGAAAGAGCCAGAGTTCTAGAAAGATAATATTAAATCCCAGGAGCAAACCATGAGTTAATGGTATCTTATTTTTTACAGGTTGGGAAGACAAGGTGACGGGGTGGAGTGAGGTGGCAAGGGGGGACTTGTAATCATCAGATTAGACATCCTGAATTTTGGATAAAAAAGCCAGATAATAAAAAATGCTGTTTACATGATTAGCAAGAAGAAACACCAGCTCATGCAGTAGCTCATAACTGTAATCCCAGCATTTTGAAAGGCAGAGGTGGAAGGACTGAATGAGCCAGGAGTTTGAGACCAACCTGGGCAACATCGTGAGACACTGTCTCTGTTTAAAAAAAAAAAGAAGAAACATTGATTTAAGAGCTAAAAAATACTACTGTATAAGTAATTTGAATGAAAATTCTGATTAAAATTGGAGTAACATGTGTAACTGTGGATAAAAATGGGAGAAGTGACACTTAAATCAACATTTTACACGTCTATTATAGTATAATTATGTTCATTAATTTAGGGTACGAGCCTATCATATTATTCAGTTTATTTCATTTAGGGAACATAAATGGCTAGTAAATGATTAGGGCCACTCTGATCTAATTTCCTGTTCTAATGATTTTCTCTTAGCTCTGGTGTTCAATTTTAAGCAACTAGATAATTTAAAAAATCTCTTGTGAGATATTGGGAACTTGGATATATCACTGAATACATATCCCGGAACTTAGAGACCACATATGCCTTAAAAAAATACTAATGATCTCTTAAAAACTATTACCTCCAAGATACCATGTGACGGCCTACTGACGACAGTTCTACTAGTGGTCTTTCATACTGTTAACTCCTGCAGTGTTTGGAATATTTTTTAAAAAGTGCTTGGCCTTCTCTTGCACAGATACATGTCATATAAGAGTACCTGTACTGTGTGACAAACACAGAGGATAGTAGAGAATCTTTTATGCTAGATTCCAGTATTATACTATACAACCATAATTATGGGTGAACCCACTAATGCTTAAGTTTTCATAAGGACAGGTAGTAGGACTACAACAGAGTTATGGAGGATGAGCTCTTAATTCCCCATAGCCTCTGACTGCATACTATGGGTATAATCCAAATTAAAACATACAAAACAAAATCCAGAGATCTCTCTTAGTGTTCTTTATAGAAGCCAATTTTATAGCCATGTTGATAATCACATACATGCTCACATGTATTTAAGAATATAATAAACCATTTAGGTCTAGTTCAGCAGGAGATCATAGTCATCACACCACAGGCGGTCTCATAACAGTTTCAGTAGAAGTCAACACACCCCTATACAGGTCACATTAAAGGGCTTTGAAGACACATTTCTCTCTAAAAGATAATGCCTTTTAAAAAACAGTGAGGAGGAAAAAGCCACATTGGAAGACTTATTGGAGCCGGACAATTTGCTAATGAAGGATGGGGTCAGACTCTACTACGTCATAAAGTAAGGGGGTGAAGAGGAAGCCAACATATTTCTTAAAGTCACACTAAGATTTTGCCACCTGTCCCCTGCCATATTTTGAGGGGAAACTGTTATTGCCAAAGTCTCTCAATAATGTTATGTCACACAGGGGACAGGGAGGTAACAGGGGAGGAGGGCAGTGGGAAATGGTTTGAGGGAGAAAGCCTGATGTCACTCTCAGTGGGTCTGGATATAACCCCGAGAAGGCTGAAATGACACTGAGATCCACCTCCTGAGGCTCTCTCTGCACATTATCAAACACATGAATCTCTGTTATAATCATCTCCATCTCCAGCCCTAGAGTTCTGTGATCCTATGATTCTATTATTCCATTTTTAAACCTGTGGAGTGGGAGTGTTTCTGAGTACCCTGCTCACACAGATGGTGGTGGGAAGAATCTCAAGAATATGTTGCATGTAGTAAATGCCCACTTCACTACGTAATCACTCCCTTCACATTTCACACGAACAAAGATTATATTATCTTCAAGACAGCTGCAAAACCACAAGTGGTTTGATGGCAGCATAGCATCAGCACATATATGTGTAAGAAACATGAAAGAAGAAATTTCTCTTCATTAAATATACCTGGGGATAACAACTCTGAACCTGACATGAATGTAGTATAATAGGACCAGGTCAGACTTGTACATCAGCTCCACAGATTGGGGGTTGAGGGGAGACCAGAAGAGGAAAGGCAAAAGGAAGCAACTGAAAGATAAAATCATACACAATTATGAATATAGAGATACAACAACTCTATATTCCTGATGTTCTAAAAATATCCTCCTCTGAAAAATCATTTGTCAAGGCAACCTTTCTGAGACCAAAAAAAAGATCGATGTGCCAAACAACAGTTTCCCACAGTCATCTCATTTTGACCACTGCTTTCACCCATCTCCTCCACAATCTGGCTCTTTACAAAACTGACCCACGCCACTCTGTATCTGGAGTTCAGGTCCCGTCCCTTTCACCTGATCGCACCTGATTCCCTTAGAGCCATTTTATACTCCTCGTTACTTTCTCAGTCGATCGCTACACATCAGACACTGCCAAAGACTATCCAATTCTGTTGCCTTGCCACACAGCTGTCAATAAGATTGAAGTGGTATATCTTTACCTTGTTCTCCTTAGCAGAAAACTCTGAGGAGTTGGAAATTTTCATGGACTTTGACCTGTGAGACTGCCGCCGGATAGAATCCTCCCGGGAGTATTTCACCGAACCTGAGGTCCTCACTCGTACCTTGCTGGCACTCTGAACACTATTCACACCAATCATTTTCGAAGGTCAACTAAGGAAGGGGTTTGGAGAAATAAAAAGGCACTTTCCAACCGTTCCAAGGCTCTCACGCTGGAGGAACTCTGTGGGGTTGTGCCTGAGCAGCTCCTGAGCGCTGTGATCCGCGTTAGCTTAAGAAGCACCAGGCTGCTTCCCCCAGCATCTTCAACTACCCTGTTTGCAGCGAGTCTGATTGTTCCAGGCACAGCTCACGTCACTGGCTGCAAAGAGGAAAAAAATGCAATCCACCCCTGCTACTCGTCTCTCTTTTCCACACACACACACACACACACACATCCAACCATATTCACATACTGGAACAAATGGCAATTGGCCAGGCAAGCAATTCATTAACATTCCAAATGGCAACATTATTTCTCTTGTGATATTGTGCAGTAAGCTCATTAATGTCAACAACAAAAAAAAGATACCACAAATAACAGTCTCAAGTAATCTGCAAGGCACCATGTGGGGTAGGAACGGAGCTGAATTTCCAAAAGGAGGAAAAAAAAATATGGATGGACGTCAAAAGGCTCAATTAATTACAGGTTAGTGAAACAATGCGAGACACAAAGACATGTCAATGATCAATAATTTTCCTTTCCTTCCTGTTTCAGGCCACATACTGTTTGACAGCAATTCAAATTGTGTTGCCATTCTGAAGATTTAAATGTGTCTTGTGACCTTAGACTATGACAGCCAGATATTATTTAAACAGAAATTATGTGACTGTATGGCAAATCCAGAATAAAGATGTTCTGTTACCTCTCTAGGAGACTGACAAAATGACTGGGGGGTTAGCACATGTTAACTTTCAAGATGGCTCAGAGTGAGACCAATAAAGCTAACTCCAGACAAAAAGGAGCAAGTACCTTTTCCAAAAGCCATAAACGTTCTCTCAGTGAACACAGCAATGTGCAAGCCTCTGAGTACGAATCACAAACTGGAGATTACTAGAAAACAAGACCATTTTAGCTCCTGATATAGTAAGTGAGTTTTGAGCACGAGACTCAGGATTGCAATGCCTCACTTATCTGGCATCCCAGAGGTAGAGGCTCAGCCACCACATTAGCATCTTCTCCAATTAAAGGAGGCTTTCGTGTTAGTATAAATAACAAAACTTAAACATATTTCATAAAGACCAATCTGGAAAAAAAGGTCAGCTTCAATTCATCCCACCCCTCAGATCTAAACTTTTCCTTTATAACTCAAAAATTTATACGCTTTTTTTTTTTTACAATGTGTTGTTCAAATTTTGCAATGTACTGATGTTCTTGAGCATTATTTGAGGTAATTAAAATGTTTTAAAGTAATTATTAAATCATAATGACTAAAGTTATGTTTTAAGGTAAGGTAATTGCTTCCCTCTACTGTCAACAGGCCCAGGAAAGGGTGATGTTTGAGCCTTGGGTTCTGTTGTACCCTCATAACAGGGGCTTTCTGTCCACCTCCTTTAGATTTTATTTACTTTCCATCTCCTATTTCTAAAGCACTGGTACTTTTTTTTTTTTTTGAGATAGTGTTGCTCTGTCACCCAGGCTCTAATGCAATGGTGCAATCTTGGCTCACTGCAACCTCCGCCTCCCAGGTTCAAGCGATTCTCTCATCTCAGCCTCCTGAGTAGCAGGGATTAAAGGCACCTGCCATCATGTTTGGCTAACTTTTTGTATTTTTGTCTACATAGGGTTTCACCATGTTGGCCAGGCTGGTCTTGAACTCCTGACCTCAGGTGATCTACCCCTCTTGGCCTCCCAAAGTGCTAGGATTACGCCTGAGCCACTGTGCCCAGCAAGTAGTTGGTACTTCTACTGTGCTATAAGGAAGACAAAGACATTAATATTGGTAAAATTTTATCATCTAAAAGAATAATATATTATAGGTTTCGGAAGATCTTGGGGCTCTACTGTCCTTTGAGGTACACTTTCCTCTCTTCTTAGGAAACTGAAGCTAGTAAATAACTTTCTTAGAATTAAGAAAAATTCTGTAAAGTTAGTAATTTACAAAGCATGTTCCAAAGACATAAAGTGGTGTGCTGTAGCAGTACAATAAAATTGATCATTTGGAATAAACACAGTTCTAACTTAAGCAGATGATTATTCTGTGGGTGAAGATCTTCAGTTAACAAAAGTAAGCCTGAGGTGGAACAAAGTAAGAAACGAATAGCATAATCAAGATAAAAATTCAAAAAGTCCCGTGTAAAAGACATGAAAGCCTGCCTCAGTGTGGGGATAAAGATAGCACTGGCTTAAAAGGAACACATCCTTTGGATATTTGCCAGTCATCATAATGATGAGTTACAAAATATCTTCTGATGAACTTTATTTCTTGTGTCCACCAAAACAGTTAGATTAAAAACAACAACAACAACAACTGAAACCACATACTAGGATGTATAGAAATGGAATTTGATACACATCACTTCTGGGAATTTAGCAGAAGGACACTGTGTTTACTCAAAGACTGCTCAGCTGACGTTACTCCTGTACTGTCCCCACCAATAACCACTTTCGACAACCTGTTTAACACCTAATACTTAACAGAAGCCACTAGTTCTCTTTTTTTGTTTCTCAACTTGACAATTCTGTGAAGTGGGTGGAGGTAATACTGCAATCACCACTTTACAGATGCGGAAAGTCAGTTCAGGACACGATCACAGAGCATGCATTCACATTCTCACATGAAGTATACACGGAGCCACACTGTCTCCCTCACACTACAGCTATCTGCATTGCCCAGTCCTTTTAAAACCTGTAATAAGCCTCTCTGCAAGTCACGGGGAGAAAGCTGTCTTCTGCTCCTGCCTTTCATTCTCTGTTTCAGAACACACATTTGTATGTGGACGGAGTGAAGAGAACCCCTAGAATGCCACTAGCAGTCTCAGGCTTCACAGTAGATGACTCATGCAACATATCTGAGTGTGTCTCAAGAGGTACCTGAAAAAGCTGGCCAGACCCCAGCATCCAGAGGCCCTTGGGGCTCATGCCTCATCCTACTGATGTAAACTTCATCCCTACCACTTCTCACTCCTCCTAACTTTGTCAGGCAGGCCTTACTCTTCATTCCAGGTGATTGTGTGGGACTTTAGCTTCCACTCAGCCCATGCATGGAACGCAAGCTTGCCGCCCTTCTGAAGCTTTCCCAAATGACACTCCATCTGCTGTCCTTCTGCCTGGAACTCTGTTGCCCCATCCTGATTCCCTGCTTAGCTGGCTTCTCACCATTCAGAAGTCAGCTTCGTATCTTTTTTCAAAGGGACCTTCTGTGACCATCCTTCCTTACACAACAGCCCTGCTCCACCCCTAGTCATTCATTCTCCACCAAAACCTCCACTTCCGTGATTTTAGGGTACTTGTAGCTGTCTGAAATTATCTGCATGTCATAGTCCACAACAGTACCTGATAAAGAGCAGGAGCTCAACGACCACCTTTCAAATAAAGAAGTTTTCCATCGGCTTTTATGTCATACCACTTTCTTTTTGGAGACAGAGTCTTCCTCTGTCACCGAGGCTAGAGGGCAGTGGTGCAATCTTGGCTCAATGCAATCTCCACCTCCCAGGTTCAAGCAATTCTCCTGCCTCAGCCTCCCAAGTAGCTCGGACTACAGGCATACTCTACCACACCTGGCTAACTTTTGTATTTTTAGTAGAGACAGGGTTTCACCATGTTAGTCAGGCTGGTCTCGAATCCCTGACTTCATGATCCACCTGCCTCGGCCTCCCAAAATGCTGGCATTACAGGCATGAGCTACGTGATGTGGTGGCCCAGGCCTGTAATCCCAGCACATTGGGAGGCCAAGGCAGGCAGATCACGTGAGTCCAAGAGTCCAAGACCAGACTGGGCAACACAGTGAAAAACCCATCTCTACAAACAATACAAAAAATAGCCTGGCAAGATGGTGACCACCTGTAGTCTTTGCTACTCAAGAGGCTGGAGTGAGATCATCTGAGCCCAGGAGGTTCAGGTTGAAGTGAGCTGTGATCAGACAACTGTATTCCAGCCTTGGTGACAGAATGAGACCTTGTTTAAAAAAAAAAAAAGAAAATTTAGCAGATTTTAATTTTTCTGAGAAAATAAATACAGTAAATATAGAATGAACTTTTCCCCCAACTATGCAAAAAAGCATGCAGTGAAATTTGTTTCCTTCCCATACCAGTTTCCTGCCCAGACCCTCTGCCCAGAAACAGGAACTGATCCCAGTTTCTTATGCATCCTTCCAGAGATGATGATAATCTATCCACATGCCTGTGTGTGTGTGTGTGTGTGTGTGTGCATGCCTGCCCATCTATTTTCTTCTCATGGATTATGAATGGAAGCATGATATATATTTTTGCTAATTTTTTATTTTTATTTTTTTAGTTAGAGTCTCTCTCCACCACCCAGGCTGGAGTGCAGTGCCATGATCTTGGCTGACTGCAACCTCCACCTCCTAGGTTCAAGCAATTCTCCCTGCCTCAGCCTCCTGAGTACCTGGGATTATAGGCACCCATCACCGTGGCTGGCAAATTTTTATGTTTTTTAGTAGAGATAGGGTTAAGTCATTTTGGCCAGGCTGGTCTTGAACTCCTGACCTCAGGTGATCCACCCTCCTTGGCCTCCCAAAGTGCTGAGATTACAGGCTTGAGCCACCATGCCTGGCCTATTTTTGCTATTTTTCTTTTAATTTTAGAGATAGGGTCCTGTTCTGTCACTCAGGCTGGAGTATAGTGATGCCATCATAGCTCACTGTGGCTATGAGCAAAGATCCTGGACTCAGGTGATCCTTGCACCTCGGCTTCCTGAGTAGCTAGGACTACAGGCATGGACCTGGCACTACCAAGTCAGACCATTTTTTTTTTTTTGGTAGAAATAGAGTCTTTCTATACTGCTCAGGCCAGTCTCAAACTCATGGGCTCAAGTGATCCTCCTGCCTCAGCCTCCCAAAGTGTTGGGATTGTGGGTTTGAGCCACTGGGCCTGGCTTTGCTATTTCTTGCTCTTTTATCCCTTATCAAGATCATGTTACATTATCACACACAAAGCCATGTTACTCTTGTTAATAGCATCATAGTATTCCAGCAGGTGGAATATTTACCAGGGTCTTATTATTGGACATTTAGTCTGCAGTCTTTTGCTACAATAAATAATGATGCAGTGAACAATATGCCTGCCAGTTCATCACATCTTAACGTTGCAGTATGGTTTTCCAATTGTTTTCTGAACAAGTCTTATTTTCTTCTCCTACATTATCTCTCAATGCC